ATAACAACAAAATATCGAGTCGCTCAAGAAACCTGTAAAATGAGGAGATATATAAGCAAGCATCCATTCGTACAACAATCGCATCATGGATAACCAAGAATGATAGAATACAAGATTGCGCCAATGAGAGAGGATTTTTGAGCGTAATTTTTGCGTGACGTCATCTTGGTGCAATTGCGAGAGAGAAATGCCAAAACGCATATAAAAATATGTAAACAATGCAGAAAAATGTGTTAATTTTAATATTACATGGCCCAATTTTGCAGGAATCAATAAATATACAAAGATTGATTAATTAGGAAGACGTACCAATAATTTTGGATATGTAGCCCTTTAGATAATGACGATTTTTAGCACATGAAAAAATGGATTTATTAACAGTGTTTGCAAAGTGTGCAGCAAAGTGAATTTTTGGACTTGACATTTTAAAAAGCCATGCAGAGTGCATATTTATATTTGTGGACGGTAGCCAACCACCATAAACTCCACAGCTGTTGACTCCACAGCTTTTATTTGATGACTTTTGTACCATTTCCGAGAGGATGTATACTTTTTTGGAAGAAAATATTCTATGTCAGTAAAACATAATTTAAGCTGAACTTTTAAATGTATAATAATTTGGGCACTGCTTCGTATTAGGTACGTAACAGCGCGGTAAGATGCCGCTTGAATTAGCGCCTGGCGACCTTATCCACTGGTGCATTACCTCATACCAGCACTAAAAAGAATCAGGTACTAACAAAAATAAGTAGGTAGTGAAGTTCATGTATCTATTTACTGTAGAAACTGCTTTTGTATGTTTGCCATTGCCAGAAAACTAAACCAGCAACTGTCTACATTCACCATGGAAATATACCTACTACAATTCACCAAGGAAAGGCCAACATAGTTCCATGTAGAAGCCCATAGCTCACACACATAGCACATAGCACAAAGCTCGGCATCTCCTCGCCGGCAGAACTGTTTCCACTTTTTCGCCAGGTTTGCGTCCGCAGGAAACGAAAAAAAAAACTTATATCGCACGCTTCCGTTTTGTTTTCACTATTACACTTTGCCACTGCACACTTCACTTTGCTTTGTAATGTCTCAATAATTGTTTAAAACCACGCAGAAATATAAACGCACAAATATTAAAATTGTTATTTGGTTTTTTCGTATACTCACAATCAACAATTGCACCAAGATAACGTCACCGCCATTCGCGATTAAACCTCGGGTGTGTCTGGACGTGTTCTGCGCAAAATTATAAACTGTGACTTTGATTTGGCGCTCGTGCACTTGTGTGTGCAGTATAACATAGTAATCTAGTTTTATATTCTTGTGTGCTACTTAGTGTAGCTAGATTGATTTTTCACCGCCATTTTGTGCTCCGCTTTTGGCGTGTAGTGGAATTTTCACTTTCGTATCAACTAAGCACCACTATTTGGAGATAAATCTTTGGGTAAGTGATTTTGCCTTTTTTGAAGCTGTGAAAATCTTTTTGTTTCGTGGATAGTGGTCTCTTAAGCCGGAAGCCTGCCTAAGACGGCAGCAAAAAAATTGAAAGCCGCTATGGCGTCGTCGACATCACTGTCGAGGGCGTCATCGGCCGAAGATTTCGAGGCTCTCTCTAGTGCCAATCTTGCCAGAGGCAAGAGGCTCAAGAGGGACAATCATGAAAAAATTGATAAACTTTTAAAGAAGCAGGATATTGAAAAAATTAAAAGTGATTTTGGTTTGGGCAGTGAAGGTAATGAAAAAGCTGACGGAAAAAGTAGTGAGGTTATATTTAAGAACATGTGTGGCAGTGACATGGCGGTTGACGTCAACGTCGACGCAGCTAACGGCAGTGCAACGGGCACTCAAGAACCGCTAATCATGACTGGTGGCGATTTCAGCGTCAGTACAGTGACGGAAAAAGTAAATGTAATGAACCTCTTACAACTATGACAATGTACCCGGCAGATTTCTCGGGAGTTTACTTGGTTTTGGTAGATACCTCGCAATGCAATGACATAATTAACACTAGAGTTACCAATGGACTTACTCTATTTAACAAAATTAAACCCCTACGTTTCAAAGATATAGAGTTTATTCGCGCGATACGGAAAAGTTTGTATAAGGTGACTTTTAAAAACTGCGCTGCAGCTAATAATTTTCTATTAAGTACCAAGCTAAGCGATCTAGGGCTTAGGGCGTTTGTTCCGAGGTCGGCTCTTGAAACGTACGGCGTGGTAAGAGGCATTCCCACTTTTTACAATGACGACGAAATTATGGCCAATGCGGTCTCCAGCATCCCCATAACCTCTATTAGGCGCTTCACACGTAGAGACAGTGAAAAAGGTGTGTTTACTCCCACCACAACTATTAAAGTAGGATTCTCGGGCAAGGAATTGCCCAAGTACATAATACTTGACTACACTAAACTTAATGTCGACTTCTTCATTCCCCCCTTAAAGCAGTGCTTAAACTGTGGAAGGCTTGGCCACACACAGTTCGCGTGCAAATCTAAAAAAAGGTGCACTAAATGTGGACTTGACCAATGCGAAGAAAGTTTGTGTAATAAAAAGTGCATACTGTGTGGAGGTGTCGACCACATCTCGTCCGACAAATCAAAATGCGCTACCTGGGAAAGGGAACAAAACATCAATTATGTTAGGGCTGTCAAAAAGATGTCTCGACGGTAGACTATAAAAACATATTTCGACAACAGGGAAAATCGGTTTGATTTATTAGCAACTGAGGATGTAGACTTCCCCAAACTAGTTGATGAGGAAGAGACCACTCAAGATAGGAATGTGAACATTAACAGAAGATTGACCAAGGGGAAATTTAATGTTGTAGCACGCAGAGGCAGGCAGGAGGTCTCCAATGCGTCCAAATCACCTCAAAGAAGGGTAGAACGGAAGACAAGAGCTGAGACATCGTCTGTACTTGACAAGCCCGAATACCTTAAGGGGAAGGTATCTGAGCTTGAAAGGTTAGTAACAGATATGTTCAAAATCCTCCAAACAATATGTGCAGATGAGCGGTTGAGCGGCTCACTTAAAGAAATCTCCAAGCTCAAGCAGAAGTGTGACTCAATAAAAATTCGAGAAGACTTAGAGGCAATTAGTAGCGGCCCCCGCCACCCCCCTAATCATAACCCAATGAAAGTATTGCAATACAATTGCCAGTCATTGAAGGCTAATATTAATACAATCGAATTTTATCTAAATAACTACAATTTTGACATTGCTTGTTTAAGTGAAATTTTCACCTCTAGCGAACTAGCACATAGGAATATAACTAATTTTAATATAATAGAAAAAAATAGGGACGATGGATATGGCGGGGTGGCCATAATCCTTAATAAAAGAATTAAATTTCAAAGACTGCTTTATTCATCCGACAGTGATATACTTATAGTACAAACTAAGAATCTGGAGCCAAACCTTATCATATGTGCAGTATATTTTCCTCAGACCATTCTCATAGAGCCGTTCAAAGATGAAGTGTTTAGGCTTCTTACTTTCCTTGAAAAATTTGAAAATGTCTTGATTCTGGGAGACTTCAATGCCAGAGCTAGGGCATGGGGTGACCACGTTACCTCTTGTCGTGGTAACAACTTACACAAAATTATTTCCAACTTCAGCTTTTTTGCTCTAAATGATGGCTCGCACACCTTCAAAAGCAATGTAATGGCCACAAATGGCTCAGTACTCGATCTCTCATTCACTAACTGCAGCATGCCCTTAACATGGAAAACTGATCCAGTTACGATTGGTGGCAGCCACCACGTACCCATAATTATAGAATCCACTGCAATTCAGGTCACAGAAGTCAAATTCCGAGCTAAGTACAAACTTATAGAAAGCCTTCAACAAATCAATGTAGAACCTGACATCAATGATATTCACCACAAGCTTGAGGAAGAGGTCAGGGCTGCTACCTATACGATCTCCAAAAATAGAACACCCAAGGTATGGTGGCATGACTCACTAGCGAAACTGTTTAGATTCAAGAAGATAGCTCATAAGAAGTGTAGGACCCACCCCACCCCCGAAAACTTTCAAGCATACATCGATATTGAGGAGAAGTGGAAAGATCAGGTTAAAGAGGCAAACAAAAGAAGCTTTGAACGAAAAATTGAGGAGTTGAATGACAATCCGTCCACAAAAGAAGCCTGGAGGTTTGTGAAGGCCCTAAGGGGTGACTTCAGAAACAACATCAAATATGCATGGTCTAATGAGAACAACCGCAACTACCTCCACTTCCTCAAGTCTCAGGTATCCAACTCAGATCAGGTGATGCCTCTCAACAAGGAGATAGTAATAGCTAACAGTTTGGCCATAACGTTTGATGAACTTCATACAGCCATTCACTCAAAAAAAGGTAACTCTGCAGGGGGTTCAGACCATATAACTTACAACATGCTCAAAGCTCTACCTGACCAAGCCATAGGTAACATTAGGACTGCCTTGAACGACGTATTCCTCACTAACCAAATAACTGAGAGATGGCGCAGCATTAACATTGTACCCATACCCAAAAAGGACAAGGATCTTAAGGACATCAAAAACTTTCGACCCATTGCTCTCCTTCCGGTGTTCAAGAAATGCATCAACAGTGTCATTAAGAAGAGGATAGGAAACCAGCTGGAAGAAAGGGCTGCACTTCCCAGGCACTCTTTCGCATACAGAGAAAAGAGGTCAGCAACAGTATGCGTCAACTATCTACTGCATGAAATTGCCTGCCACAAGAGTCGAGGGTACAAAGTCCTGATCTGTTCCACAGACATCTGCAACGCATACAATTGTGTGGAAGTTTCGAAGCTTAGAACGACGTTGATTGAGGAGGGGATTCACCGTACATATGTGGAGGGGATCACCAACTTTTTGGCGCTGAGAAGGCTGCAGTTGGGATCAGAGGCGGAGGAGATCTGCAATGGCCCACCACAGGGCAGTTGTCTCTCCCCCCTTTTATTTAATCTCTACACCAAGGGATTACATTACAATTTGCTGACGATTTTATCCTTTTGTCATTTCATCGTGACCCTGATCAGGCAGCCATGAACCTTCAACACAAGATAAATAGTTTTCACCTGCTATGTAACAACTTAAATCTCTCCTTCAACCCCGAAAAGACCAAGTTCCTTAATATCTGCAGAGGTAGCAAAAAGACCTTCAACATAACGTGCCAAAATCAGTCACTGCAACAGGTGCAAAATCTAAACTTTCTAGGAAGGAATATTAGTGCATCCTTGGCTGTGAGCGAGCACTATAAAGTCACATTCAATAAATCACAAAATAACTCCTACCTTTTCAAATGTCTTACCTCTGTTAAAGCGGGTCTCCATCCCAGGGTAGCTTTGAACTACTACAAAGCCATCGTGAGAAGCAAAATAGAGTACTGTAGATCATCCATGGCAAACTGTGCGAAAACAGCCGACAAAAAGATCCAAACCTTCCAGAACAGCTTCCTACGTAGAGCTCTGGGTTTAACTCCATCAACTCCAGTACCCCTAGATTATGCTCTGGCCAATGAGCTGCCGCCATGTGAACGGGCCAAATGGCTTACGGCCAAAGAAATTATGAGCAATCTCATCTCTGACGTAACATTCAAATCATTTTTATACGACTGCCCTAGAGCAAACTCCAGCTATAGCCTTGTCTTAAACGAATTCAAACATGTCTTTGACGGCCTCAATGTGGTCTGTAGCACGATTCTGCACAATAACTTAAATATAGTAATGAAAACCCTTCCAGACAAAAAAGACAACATATCAAGCGAAAGGATTAGGTCCATTTACAACTCCTTAGTACATGATTATAAACGTGATAATTTTAAAATTTTTTTCACAGACGCATCAGTGGGCGATTCCTCCACTGGCATAGCTATATATAATCACTCGAACAATACAGAGCATGCACACAAACTGCCCTTCCAAGCTTCTTCCTCGTTTGGAGAATCGCTGGCGATTCTAAGAGCACTGGAAATAGCGAAGGAGTTGAAATATGACAAAATTGTTATTTTCACAGACAGCCTCATTGCCTGCCAATTGCTGATGAAGGGAAAAACCCATAACCACATTATTTTAGCGATACACAACCTGGCTACCAATGAAGACTTTGATAATGTCACTATAAATTGGACCCCAAGCCACAAAGGCATAGCAGGCAATGAAAGAGCTGACACAATCGCCAAGAACGCCATTAACTGTCACAATGTACTCGATGTTAGCCTTACTCCTGAAGAAGCACTCAGGCGTATCCGTAACGAAATCAACGATCAATGGTATGCTGATTTTTTAGCATATTCGGATGTTAAACCGAACCTTTTTGCTCAAATTTTCAGTGCCAAACCCAAAAATAACTGGTTCAAGTCCACTGCCTTGTCAGCAAAAGAAACTAAATTAATAAACAGGATCCTCACGGGTCATACTTATGATCAGGAGTATCTTTTCAAAATCAAAGCTATAACCAGCAGCCGTTGCAGCTGTGGAGATCCAGATAACTTCATTCACCAAACCTTTCATTGTCCCCTCTTGGGCCACATTAGGGAGGGCTTCGATATTTTTCAAGATAATCAGAATTTCCATGATATTTTTCACGGCTTCGATAGACGCAAAATCACCTCACTTGCTAATTTTCTAATTAAAGCGGAAGTAAAATTCTAATAAATTTGTATATTATTTGCGTATTTATCCGTGGTGAAATACCGTCCACCACACCCTGTACTGAAAAAAAAAATAAAAAAAATAAAATAAAAATAACAATAATATAAAACAAAATTAAAGAAATCAATTAAAAGTTGATGATAACACAAGAACTATATATTGCCGGCTACATTCGTTACACACGCTAATGTGTACATCACAGCCTTCCAGGCTACTTCGCTCATTCAGGACCTTCGTCGTCCCAATCAAATATTACTACATGGTCGTGTAGTAATCCAGAGGAAAACACGAAATTGGAAGGAAAACCTGGCTTTCTAGGGACCTGGTCCCGCCAACAAACTCAAGAACCCAAAAAAAAAAANAAATATTACTACATGGTCGTGTAGTAATCCAGAGGAGAACACGACATTGGAGGGAAAACCTGGCTTTCTAGGGACCTGGTCCCGCCAACAAACTCCAGAACCCAAAAAAAAAAAAGATAACGTCACGCACACGGCTGATTCTGTCAAAATCTCAAAGAGCGGATTTGCGGTACCGTGATTGGCGCAATCTCTATTTCTCTCAATCGTGCTTGTATTCTATCATTCTTGGATGCAAAGCACCACAAACACACATCGCGATGGCAAACGAAGTTATTTAACAGCTCCAGCCGAGTGAAAATACTGCTAAAGTAACAGAGGCAGCGCCGCTTGTGATACCCTTGCTTGCCTCAACCGCTCGTGCCATAAATTCAAATTAGGTGCAATCCCGTATTCCTCGGACTCGGACTAGTAAAACTGTCAAAAAATAAAAATTCGCTAAGAGCGAGAGAGTAACATTGAAAAGTACGGGATCGCTTTCTAGTAAAAATGGTAACTTCTGTCAACTTCAACATAACCTCCAAATTTTGGTTGTAAATTTTTGCATATTTTGTATGTAAACACACTTAGCTCACACATGTAAATAACCAAAAATACTTTCAAATTCATTAGGATCCACTTAAACAAGTAATTAAATACTTTTCAACATAAATTAGCAGAGTGCACTTTTCTTTTCTTTACAATTTGGTTGCCAAACACACTACAGCTGATCGTTTGACACATTTACCAGAATTTACCAGCAAAAAATTCTCGGACTAAAACTGGTAACTTCTGACAGAGAGAGAACCGTATTTACTCTCTTTTTTGTCCTCTCAATAGTCAGAGAACCGAGTACGGGATCGATTTCCAGTAAAATCTGACTGATTCTGACTATTTCTGACTAGTCCGGACTCGTACGGGATCGCAACTATAGGTTCGATAGTTGACATGCTTCTTCTGTATACTATTTATTCTGTGGTTCCATTATACATAACTATTCGCGTAAATTTCACATGCAATATCTAGATATCAGCCAGGCATAATTTTTCAAACATCTCACTAGCATGGTTTTTTAAGAATTCGATAGTGCTTTTAAAATTATGCATATAATTTAACTGAACGAGTAATTTGAGAGCTGGAACAGATCTTTTGAGTCCGAATGAAATTATCAAATTTAAAACTATTGTTTATTAAATTTTAATGTTCAGTGATCTAAACATTATGCAAGAAACCACATTCGATGCTGTATGTACGTGGACTGATGAGACAAGATAAGGCAAAAGTAAATGTATAGTATAAATACAATATTTGGGCGCGATGTAATTCGCTTATTTTCATAACCGCTCAAAAGAGACATATTCCTGGATGACTGGTCGTGGATTTAAATGCATAGGCAGACGTCAGTGTTGATCCGGATCAACTCGTTAATTCGGAATATTCTCGGGAATTAACTGCAGTTAATCCGGATTAAGTCCTGCAGCTAAAAGCATAGACTGACGGCAACGTTGATCCCGATTAACGGCGCAATTGATCTGATCCGCGAGATCTTGGGTTCGATTCACCCAGCCAGAATAATTTCCGTAAAATTTTTTTAAATGAACTCAATCATTACTTTTACGGTTTGTTTATATAATTATAGTTGAGAACTTTTTTAATAAAATTAAACTTTTAATAAATAAAATAAAATAATAAAAAAACTCAGGACCAGTTTCTCATGTATTTTTAATACCAACCTCCGGTTAAACATCGTTACTACAAGAGCGTGCAATTGCTGGCCTATGCCGATGACATCGACATCATCGGTAACAAAAACCGCGAAGTCTGTTCTGCCTTTTCCAGGTTGGATAGGGAAGCAAAGCGAATGGGTCTGGTGGTAAACGAGGACAAGACGAAGTATCTCTTGTCATCAAATAAACAGTCAGCACATTCACGCCTTGGCACCCACGTCACTGTTGACAGTTACAATTTCGAGAAAGTAGAGAATTTCGTTTACTTGGGAACCAGCATTAACACCGATAATAATGTCAGCATTGAAATCCAACGCAGAATCACTCTTGCCAACAAGTGCTACTTTGGACTGAGTAGGCAATTCAGGAGTAAAGTCCTCTCTCGACGTACGAAAACCACGCTCTATAAGTCACTCATCATGCCCGTGCTGGTATATGGCGCAGAAGCATGGACAATGACAACATCCGATGAGGCGGCTCTTGGAGTGTTTGAGAGAAAGATTTTGCGGAAGATTTACGGGCCTTTACGCGTTGGCGACGGCGAGTACCGCAGACGATGGAACGATGAGCTGTATGAGCTTTACAACGATATGGACATAGTGCAGCGAATTAAAATACAGCGGCTCCGCTGGCTTGGTCATGTCGTTCGAATGGACACCGAAGCTCCAGCTCTGAAAGTATTCAACTCGGAACCCGCTGGTGGTAGCAGAGGAAGAGGGAGGCCCCCACTGCGATGGAAAGATCAGGTGGAGAAGGACTTGGCTTCACTTGGCGTTTCCAATTGGCGTCAGTTGGCACAGAGGAGAAACGACTGGCGTGCTTTGCTGAACTCGGCCAAAATCGCTTAGGCGGTTACAGCGCCAAAAAAGAAGAAGAAGGTTAAACATCGTTATCAACGTTACCGAATCCCTGTTATATCCATGAGAGCCAGTTTCTTAATGTCTGGTTAGCACTAGCAGGTTAAACATCGCTATCGCTTTGACGTTGGCGACATGAATTTTTTGAACGCGGCAGCGACATCATGAAATTGTATGAGTTTGATATAAAAGAAAAGTAAGAACCTCGTTCGAAAAATAGAAATAAACATTTAGGTTTGAGCTTAACTTGAGGTTAAGTTGAGAACTAAGGTATTTCTCAAATCTCCAACGTTGTTTCTCAACAGAACCTCAAGTGGAGGATCATAGCGTTCTCAACAAAAAGGGTATTTTTCTTTGTATGAAAAAAGGACTGTTTCTCATGTTGAGAAAATGCTAGTTCTCAACTTGAACTCTAATGTAATTCTCCAATTGATCTCAAACATATCATTGAAATACTGAAATTGAAATAGTAAAATATCTTATACCTTTTTGATTGAAACGACATATATAGATGAATTTAAATATTAATTTTTCATTTTATTACTCCTTTTGTATTATGTAGTTAATCAATATCGTATTACAATAATTCACTTCACATTATACAGTCGGACAGTAATTTTGCACCTTGATTCACTTGGCGTATTATTTTCTTTCAAGAATATTTCAGGATACTTTGAAGATTATTTACTTTTCGTTGGTCGTTTTCCCCTCTATATAGGTTTAGTTTTTCACTTGATAATTAAAAATTCGTATCTCTATCACTTTTTACGTATCTGCGAGTGGGTTAGAGATGAGTTGGAGAATGATGTTGGATATCAACTTGAGAACTATGAATTTCTCCAAGGTTGGATAAATATTTTTTTGGTGTTTATTGGGTATGTACAGAAGAGTACGTTTTAAAACAGTTTGACAACTGTAGTCCGTAACCTATTTTTCAATGTGTTTTAATCATAATGAATTTCACGTCTTGACGTTTTAATTGTTTTACAATTAAGTTGATGTAGAATTTTCGCGTGAAAACAATTGTTTCGTTCCTCAACTTTTCTGGATAAAACCTGTAAAACAGTCAAAAGGCAAAAATGCTCAAAGAGAAAGAAAAAAACTGGTAAAACTGTGAAATGCACCGCAAACGCCATTTTTGGTTTACATAGCAGTTTTTTTTAATCATTTGGCGATATAATGAATTATAAGCAAATACACAAACTAATTATTAAAAATACTTAACACAAAACTTAATACAAAACTTGATATTTCTTCGCTACGTACATATCTATTTTATAACGTGAAAATGCAGCTGCACTTTTGTTTTTGCTTATTCAACTTTTAATTAGTTTTTTTGACAATTTACCAGATTTTACAAAAAAAAAACTTCTGACAAAGAGATTACAAATTTGCTAGAGAACAAAGCACGGGAACGCTTTCTGGTAAATTCATGCAAAATCTTGCAACTTCTTGCGAGTTAGGGAACGCTACTAATGCTTGTTGCTGACCAAATTTCACAACAGCTAACAGAGTACTAATCGAACGTGTTTGAAGTAAGGACGTAAAATAAACGTTATTTTGTATTCTGCTGGTCCCAAAAAGTTTATTATTACGATTTTTTGTTTTCAGTTACATATTACTTAATTTTATCACTCAAAGCATTTGCTAAAATTCATAAAATCGCGATAAGATGTGATCAAAAAAATTAAATTTTTCGAATTAAAGAACCTTATATCCGAAAGTCAAAATAATTGTAATTTTCTAAATTTTTCTTAATTATGATTAAAAAGTCTGAAATTTGGAGGAAAGCTTGTTGATGTTTTCAATATCGCACATAACGATGAAACTTCGATTATCCATTAAAACTGAGAAAAACTTCGGATTTCCGTGTTTTATACAGAATTTTTCCCTTATGTGGTCCAGCATATCCTTCGCTTCCCTATTAAGGTATGGCTTGGCAAAATAATTCAATGAATATCAGCAGAGAACTAGCCAGAGAACGCAAGCAAACATACAAGGTAACGGAACACAAAAGCTTCATATCACTCGGAAGCATTTTTAAGAGTATTACCGAATCGCGATTGAAATACCGTACAAAGATCTTTTCGTTACGCATTTTCAAGATCGATTTCTAAAGCACCGGGATATTTTATTTAATTTTGATTGCCT